ATAGCAATATTATAGGTAACAAAAATAAGATTTTACCATCCTTCACGTCACTGCGGCCCAAGTGGATCTATTGTGACCCCCCTAATACAATTATTATATACAGGGTAACAGGTAAATAGGTGTAAAACATTTTAGGAGGTGATAGTACAGCTCCTTTGCTATCAAAATTAGTATATAATACCATACCCTATATTCACAGGTTAAAAAGTTATGGAAGATTTAATATTTTTTAAAAAACAAACCAGATTACAGAGCAAAATAGTTGAGATAAAAAAAAAAGTTGGTGATTAAACATTCTTTTTTTGGTGGTTTCAGGTTATTATTTAAATAAATAATTCTCATAAATTAAAAAACATATGAAAACACTATTGAAGACGTATTTATTTTCATTTAAATGTTGAATGAAAATTTGTATCTTCAACTTTCATATTAAGAAGTCTTTTTTTTCAAAGAAATCATAATAAAGAAAATGTACAAATAACTGCAAACACTTCCTCGTTTCATTAGGTTTCTAAAATGGTATAATAACATATCAGTAAGTAAACCATTTAACTAAACAATATTACTTTGCTAGAAAGGACCGCTAAGCGCATTTCATTGTACTGAGCAGGTACTCAATTACTCAATTACCATGAAGACGAGGACGACAACCACGAGGAGGCCGTGGAAGTCGCAGCCGAAATCATGAGGAGCCGACCACCTGGCCAGGAGACGGATCACCCCTCCAGTCCAGAGGAAATCCGTCTGATCATCCGCAGGTTGAAGGTCAGAAAGGCGCCGGGAAGGGACGGCATCAACAATAGGATGCTGAAGAACCTTCCCACCAAAGGCATTGCTGCGCTCACCAACATCGCCAATGCCACTCTGAGACTTAACCACTTTCCGCGGCGGTGGCGGGAAGCCCAGGTTATAATGCTCACCAAGCCAGGCAAGGACCGGAAGTTGCCCCAGAACTACCGGCCCATCAGCCTGGTTTCCTCGATGGGCAAAGTAGTCGAGAAGGCTATCGCCGTTCGACTAGAGAAGCAGGCAGAAGAACTGCAACTTCTCCCCCCAGAGCAATTCGGCTTCAGATCCTCCCACAACACGGAACTCCCAGCGCTACGACTGACGGAAAACATCACCAGCGGCTTCAATCTCCAGGAGGCAACCGGTCTCGTCCTGCTGGACGTGGAAGGAGCCTTCGATCGAGTTTGGCACGATGGACTCATCGCCAAAATGGAAGCCGCCGGAATCGATGCGAACATGTGCCAACTGATCCAGAGCTATCTAACACAAAGATGGTTCACGGTGAAGATTGGTACATGCCACTCAACAAGACGACAGCTGGAAGCAGGCGTGCCCCAGAGGTCAGCCTTAGCCCCCCTGCTCTACAACATCTATACTCACGATGTGCCGAAGACAGCTGACACAATGCTGGCCCTATAATGCAGACGACACTGCTATAGCCACCAAGCATAGACGACCCGAGATCATCCGTAGGAGACTACAGGATGAACTGGACCACATCCAGGACTGGTGCGTGAAATGGAAAATCCGCATCAACGTCCAGAAGACGCAGGCAATCTTCATTCAACGAAGAAGGATTGCAAGACCTCTCGAAGCATCCATCTTCGACGAAGATATCCAGTGGAGCGACAAAGTCAAATATCTGGGGATCGTATTTGACAAGTCCCTCACCTGGAAAGCCCACATAGAAGCTGTCATCGCAAAGACCAGAGCAGCCATGGCTCAACTCTACCCATTACTGGGTAGACACAGCCGGATGCCGCTAGCGACCAAGCTACGGCTGATCAAGGCCATCTCCAGACCTCACCCTATATTCAAAGGTTAAAAAGTTAAGGAGGATTTAATATTTTTTAAAAAACAACCTAGATTACAGAGTAAAATAGTTGAGATAAAAAAAGTTGGTGATTAAACATTCTTTTTTTGGTGGTTTCAGGTTATTATTTAAATAAATAATTCTCATAAATTAAAAAACATATGAAAACACTACTGAAAACGTATTTATTATCATTTAAATGTTAAATGAAAATTTTTATTTTCAACTTTCATATTAAGAAGTCTTTTTTTTTCAAAGAAATCATAATAAAGAAAATGTACAAATAACTGCAAGCACTTCCTCGTTTCATTAGGTTTCTAAAATGGTACAATAACATATCAGTAAGTAAACCATTTAACCAAACAATATTACTTTGCTAGAAAGGACCGCTAAGCGCATTTCATTGTACTGACCAGGTAAACCGAGCCTTACATGGTTCGACCCTTTTTGTTATTTTTTGTGCCCTGTGCCGTTATTCGGGTTTAAGTATTCGGAATCTGTCGTCGCTCCTCGGAAGCAAGCTCTGCGTGTGTTATGAATTGACACAGCTGACGGATCAAGAAAAGAGAACTAACGCTTAGGTTAGCTAGTAGAATATCAACCTTTAACGCGGTAGGACGTACTTTTACTTTTTCTATCCGTTTTAATAATGACGAGTTACCGCAACGAAGAATACGCTGATATTCTGTCTTGTTATGGTTTAAGTGATGGAAATTCCGTTGAAGCCAGGCGAGAATACGAAAACCGTTTTCCGAATCAGCGAATACCGAGTCATCGAGTATTTGCTTCTGTGTACCAACGCGTCAAGGAAAGTGGACAGGTTCATGAGAGACGTCATGATGCTGGTAGACCTCGGTTGTTTGACGACGAAGATCGAGAGGCAATACTGGAATGCTACGGCAGAGACCCGACGACGTCTACACGAGTTATAAGCAAAGCAGCTTGGTTTAACACAGTGGAAAGTTTGGTTCGTTTTGCATTCGGCGAGACTTTACGCTTTCTTTCCATTACACACCAGTTCAAGTATTAGAAGAAGGAGATCCCGCAAGAAGAATTGATTTTTGTCGATACATGCTTCATCGGGATCAAGAAGAAAACGGCTATTTAAGTAAAATATTGTGGACCGACGAGTCTAAGTTTGACAGAGAGGGGACAACAAATTATCACAACTTACATTATTGGGCCCCACGAGAGGCAAATCCCCACATGGCAAAGCCAAGAGCCCATCAAAGAAGATTTTCGGCAAACGTGTGGATGGGAATCATTCATACGTATCTAATTGGACCAGTTTTTTTGCCTGACAACCTGAATGGCGAATCCTATGAAAACTTTTTGAGATACGAACTCGGGGAGTATCTCGAAGACCTGCCTCTGAATATCAGGATGCAGATGATCTACCAACACGATGGCTGTCCCGCGCATTTCCGTCTGGGTGTTAGACAGTGGCTGGACGAGAAATATCCTTGTCGCTGGATTGGCCGAGGTGGACCGACACCGTGGCTAGCGAGGAGCCCAGATTTAACACCGTGTGACTATTATTTATGGAGGCACATGAAGTCACTGGTGTACGCTGAGCCCATAGACTCTCTTGCACAGTTGAAAGAAAGAATTATTGCTGCTGCTGACACTATCAGAGGACAACTAACTGGCCGCATCACGCGTACCAACATGAGAAAGAGACTACGGGCTTGCATAATAAAAGGCGGGCGTCAGTTCGAACAACAATTGCAATGAATTTTACCTTCATTTCATTATTGTATTTTACTTACCAATTGTAGTAACTTTTAGTCAGTTTTTATTATTCTGTAGTACAATTACAACTGTGTAAATAATCTAATCGTGTAACTTAACCGTAGTTTAAAATAATAACTATCCCATAACTTACAGTTACATTATTTTCACAAAAACATTTTCTTATCAATCACAGAGTTGTGAAAATAGGAGACAAGCCATTGGTCAATTTACTCCCTATTGTTGTATTACAATACATAATGTTTAGTTTCACACAGTTTTTGTGCACTCATCATACCAGTTTAGATTCCTTATGAAACAACGATATTATTTAAATTGTTTGTACGTTTTTTTTGTATACTGATTTTTTTGTAAAACACCTTACTTACTGTAAAACGTTATTTATTTTTTTTTTCTTAGTTAAACATTTTTGAATGAAAATAAATACGTTGTTTGGTATTGTTTTCTAATCTTTTTTAATTTATAATAGTTAATTATTGAAATAATAACCCAAAACCACAAAAAACAAATGTTTATCGTCAACTTTTTTCTCTCTCGACTTTTTTACTCTGAAATATGGATTGTTTTTAAAAAAATCTTAAATCTTCAATAACTTTTCAACCTTTGAATATAGGGTATGGTATTATATACTAATTTCGATAGCAAAGGGACTGTACTATCACCTCCTAAAATGTTTTACACCTACTTACCTGACACCCTATATATAAAGCACTATGTCTAGCCTTGATCCTTTGATCAGCCTCCATAGCCTTAACGCATGTAGCTTTCCGCTGTTGGACCTGTACTTTCTGCTATCTGAAACTGTAGCCTTGCCAGGTCTTCAGCGACTCAGGAGATGCACTGCTCTCTGCAGAAACGAAGTGTGGCCTCTTCTGCTAGACCCAAGAGTCTCACATGTCGACAGAAGGCGCATTATGGCTTATGGCATTCCTATTGATATTGGAGAATATGAGAGCATACCACTTACTGTGCTCACAAATAGGGATTTATAAGAAGTGAAGACACAAGTGGATGAAGATGTCATGTAACAAAATCATTCTACAGAGAAAATTGACTTCCAACATTTTTTATTAGAACATTTTTTTCATTGAGATTTTAAATGTTTAGTTTAATTAGCTTGTAAAGCATTGACGGAGACTTTTTTGGGTGGTAGTACAATTTTTGGAGACATGTAATTGGAATTTACATGACAACCTTGTTCATTGAAAACTATATTCAAAATATTGGGCATTTAATAGGAAAAAGGCGCAATGCTTCAAACTATTTATTTTTATTTAGTATACAAAATACATATAATAATAATTATTGCTCCTCATAATAGTTTCACCTACTTTTTCTCTTTTTTTAGGATTTGCTTCATTCATTGCAAGACGCTCTCAAAAAAACCTTAATATTCGTCCTTGAAAATACAAGTTCATTTATTTATTTATTTATATAGTTGCTCCCTCAGGTTCGACAATTTTCCTGATGTGTTTCCCCCTCTTTTCTCCTGTATTCTACCAACTTCTATATTGTCTTCTTCAACCGATATCCTGCTTCCTTTCTTCAGTAGATCAACTTTGTGAAAAGTTGAGATGTCGTCGAAATTTTCTTCATACAGGTAGCTGCAACTCTGATCCATTTAACACTATCTCTAAAGTCAACTTTCTTATTTAATTCGTTCTTTTTTTTACTGTAAGGGGTCAACTTCATGAAAACTACATCAAACTCTAAGAAATAATTTACAGATACAGAGCTTACAGCACTTGCAGAGTTTATAAAATCTCTCTAGTGATCTGGGACGTAGATATTCTCGCATTTCTTTCGATTCCTTTCAATTCCTCCAAAATTTCTATCGAAGTCCAAGTAAGTGTGGCCTACTTCTGGGTACTTTTATCTTGGCCGGCACAGGAATCCGACTCATGAGATGATCAATTTGATAGTCTTTTTGAGCAGTTGACAAAATCTCAAAAAACAACTTGCCACCTCCATACCTCCCATATTAGCAACATCCATAGTCCATTGAAAAAATGGTTTTGGTCCTTCAGGAGCTATACAATGGATACGAGGGATGTCTTTTAAGTTTTGCATATAGAAAAATAGTAGGTCGAGCGTATCGAACGTCAGTACTGAATCCTAACCTCACTCTTCAGTAAACTTAAATTCAAAGTTTCACAACAGTACGTGCAGTGTTCCCACTACAGTGGATTTTTAAGTGTCACCAAGTTATTAGCAAAATGGAACTCAAACGAGAACATTTTCGCGCCATAATTCATTGCAACTTTCAGATACAATTATCGCAACAAGAATGCCTTGCTGAGTTACTGTCTGTTTTCGGCAACGAAGCGCCACATCAGTCGACGATTTCCCGTTGGTATGGAGAATTCAAACGTGGACGGGTGAGTCTTAGCAACGATCCCAGGGTGGGTGCACCAAAAACGGCAGTCACCCAGGAAAACGTCGATGCTGTGCGCAAGCTCATCATTGAAGATAGACATGTGACATATTACGAGATTAAGGCGTCCTTGAAGATCTCAACGACCTCAGTTCAAAAAAATTTACATGAAGAATTAGGAGTAAGAAAATTAGTTTCTCGTTGGATACCCCACCTGTTGACTGAAGAGCAGAAAGTAGCCAGGGTTTAATTGATGTCAAAAAACGCTTGGCCGTTTCAATTCCGGAAACTCAAAAAATGTGTACAGCATTGTTGGTGGTGATGAATCGTGGATTTACTGTTATGAACCAGAAAATAAGCGACAGTCGGCTGTTTGCAACAGTTCCTCTTAATGAATAAATAACTGTTACTGCGGATTGGTATACCACCATTTGTTTGCCAAAAGTCATCACCGAGCTTCGAAAAATCAACCCTGAAAGAAGAATCAACCTCCACCAAGACATTGCCAGCTCGCACTCAGCCCAAAAAACAAGGCAGTATATAACGGAAGAAAACGTGGAATTATTGGACCATCCTCCATATAGTCCCGATCTAAGTCCCGACGATTTCTTTACTTTCCCGAAAATTAAAAACAGACTGCGTGGTCAAATGTTCCAGTCACCAGAAGAAGCAGTTGACGCATTCAAAAATGCCGTTTTGGATGTGCCAGCAAACGACTGGAATAAGTGCTTCAAAAAGATGTGTATTAATCTTCATGGAGAATACTTCGAAAAACAATAAAGTCATTTAAAGCTATCTACCATGTTATTTTATTTCCATATGCAAAACTGAAATTGTTAATCTACATCTGCCGTAAATAAAAAGTTTTAATAGCTGTCAGCTTTGGAAGCGGCATGCTTTGTTGCAAATCCATGGTATTTTTCTGATTAACTGGTTTTCCTCTATTTCGTTTTTGCGCATCAAGAGCAACCTCCTAATTTTCGGTGTGGGTGTCTAAGTTTTGCCCAAAATCACAAGCTGCATGTATTGCTTTAAAAATATGTAGACATAAGTAGTGGATGAAGGTTTCATGTTACGTTGACACCTTTATCTATAAAAAAACATCATTACATCTTTATTCGTTAAACATCTGAGCTAACCATTTAAGGTTAGTTTAATTATAAAAAAACAATTTTAAAAAAATGTTACCTGACACCTTCATTGACTTGCGTCTTCTAGTTACAGCTTCAAACTTCAGCTATGGTATTACTTCGTTGCCTGAACAGCAGGTATAGGCTGTCGGTGTCACGGTATATTCTAGGGATCTATTGTTTCTAGTGCATTCCATCGCCAACTGACAGGCGTGGCAAAGTGGGCTGATGATGCTCAGTTACCAGTAAGCCTATTGTGGTCAGCTGTCGCGTGTACCTTTGTTGTGGCGGCCTCACTCGTGATAGGCCGAGAGCGGGTTAGGGCATTTTCGCACCCGATACAACAAATCGAGCACAACTACTGAATAACATCTAGTATCACGCTTTCGAGCTCGAGACTCGGAGAATATGTTAAGCATTTACACCTCACAGAAGGTAATTTAGAATTAATAATATTTAGTAATATTTATCACCCATTAGACATGTATACAGTAGTAGTATATTTACAGTATAACAAACAATAAAATAACAAGCAACAACTAACGATAGCTAAAACTGCATATTTAAAAATGGACACCACAGGCAAACAACAGCAGATAAAATAGATGCTGCAGTTAAAATTAATGAATTAGCAAAAAAAAAACAAGTATAAAAATATAGAAAAGGAAAAACAACAAGTGGATAACAAACAATACAAAAAGACATATAATATCAACGAAGCCGCTGACGGCGAAGCAAGTCTTATTAATGAAGTAAATTTTCAGCAATTAGCTAGTCGTCTTAATATACTCAGGCAGCTTATTTAATACTCGTACTTTTGAACCAAAAATAGAGGGAGATCTACCAGCTAGCTTATATCCAGCTAATTTTGGAAAAGAGGACAGTTCGATTCGATGCAAATCGTCTGAATATGAAATAGCTCTAAAAAATTTAAAAATACGAAATAATCGTGATATATATGCTAATGCAGTTAACCTAATTAAAAGTATGTAGTTTACGTTTTTTGGTGTCAGCACACTGTGTTCCAACAGGCGCAGCTTGGAAATGTGGAGTTACCTGTTTGTTTTTAATACATTTACTTTCAGTTTTACTGTTATTTTTCAATTTTACTTAATCATTCAAAATTATGATTAGATTAGATAAAATATCTGCATAATTGCGGCCACAGATGCAAGTTAAAGAAAATTCTCTGTATATAAGGTCAGACTGAATGCTGAGCAAGGTTAACTGACACAAAATAAATTTTTGATTATTGCTTTTCATGAAGAAAATTTCCAATCTATCTACATTAATAATAGATTCAAAATGGCATACATATGGTAGAATACGATTGGTACATAGCTGGTTGGAATTGACAGCCCTCCTCTTTGCAAATGATCAAAATAAACATTTGTTGTTAATGAACCTTTTTCTTTAACTATTAGCGATTTGCATATCTCGCAGTTTAGGTTTTTAGAGATAGCGTGTGAAGCATATCCAGATATATAAGTCTTAGTACTATCCTCTATGTCACAATTGGCTAAGTAATTTGTCTCAAATACTTCATTGAATATATCCAAAACTTCAGGATTTTGTTTGGTATCCAAGAAATCAAAATTTTCTTGAGTGTCTAAGCAGTTTTGGAACCTTGTTTTAATTTCTGCTAAAGAAAATGACGATTCCTTTTCATTGAAAATATGCTTCAGCCGTATTTTCTTTTCAGCATTTAAAATTTCATCATATGACACATTGTAATTGCAGCCACATAAAAGTCTATAATTGCCAAATCGTTTTTCTAAATTATCAGTGGTGAATTTTCCAGGCAATACATACTCAATGTCAAATTGATTAAATAAATATTCAATTATATTAAGTAGAGTCAGCGTGCTTTGATATAGAGCTGTATACATTTCTGGTGTCAGGTGTCCATTATTATTCTCTAGATTATGCCATTTTTCTAACCATATCAGGAATTTTTTTAAAAATTGTACTCTATAATCATATTTATTGGTAATAGGCTTACAAAATTCGTTTCGCTTCAATTCTCCTTTTATTACACTTGTATTACTGACAATATCCCACCAATTCCTGATTATTTCCAAAAAGTGTGCAGCATCATTAAAGTTTAATTCTTTCATAGCAGCTATTGTTGAGTGATGGAATAAATTATCTACAAAATTTACATTTTGCCTTTCAAATGAATTTGGATGCAATGTTTTATAATTTAATTTATATGCTTTCTTAACTACAGCTTCTTTTTCCAATTGATATACAGCACGAATGTTTTCAAATTTAGCATACTGAATAATATCATTATTGTCAAAATTAGGATATACAAAAGTTTTGTCTAGGTTTTTTAAATTAATCCAATTATTTCTGATACTCTTGAAAATATGCACAACATCATAAACTATATATATGTTCTTATCAAGATTATATGGATTTGGAATAGAATAATTTTCTGATGAATCCTTTGCTAATTTCCTGAACATTGCTCTATTAATTCGGTGATTATCAGTAACAACACAAAAAAATTCAAATCCACATTTTTGAACTAAATTTATCACATGTTCAACCAAAGGTGTCATTTCATCACCTGTTAGATTTGAAACTGGTATTAATTTGATAATTTCTGTTATGTTTCCAAATGCTGAAGATAGCATGAAGGCTAAAACAGTTTTAGCCATGTCATTTTTATTCGAGGCATACCCAACAATGTTTTGTGAGCGATAGTCCAGCCTAGATGTTATATAAATTTCATCGATCATCAAAATTACAATTTTTTCTCTTGGAGCTAATTTAATTGCTATATTCGGAAGGTAGTGTTCATTATTCCTATCATTTTTTGGAGATATATCCATACTTGAGGAGATATGTTGTAAGTATCGCTTACTTGGCAAAATAAAAAATCTTTTAATTAAATTATATGTTGATGATGAGTGGTTATAAAATGTAAAAGCCATTATTATTGAAAGTGATGCATATCTGTTTTTCCTGTTTTGAATTTGTCTCAGCTGATCAGCAATAATCTCTAGATTTTTTGTATATGGAAACATAACTTTCACAACATCCTTTATGAAAGACCTGAACTTCCATCTGACCATCAACTATAATCTGTGTA